CATGCAAATAAAGTCGAGATTTTCAGAGTTGAAGACACAACTGAAAATTAGTTTTCTTCGTCTTTTTTTTAATATCTGTTTGTGTGTGTGTGTGTGACTGTCGCTTTTGGAAATTTTGCTGCCAATTTTTTTTCACCACTATATCAAAAAATTTTCATTTTTACTCCTACAAAATTAGTAATGACAAAAAAAAACCCTTTTTTAACTCAAAATCTATATTAAAGTTTTCCTACAGAGGTATTTGCTTTGCAAACCCGTATTCCAAACCAATTAGGCTCAGTGTAAAAAGCCAAAATCCAAAAAAAGAAAAAAAAACGTAAAAGAAAACAACAAACTACTCGGAAAATTTCAAGTTATATTTAGTTACATCTATCATAATTTAATTAAGCACATTTAATTATCCCTTTCCTCCCTTTTTCTTCACCTCCTTCCTAATTCTAATCAACACTGAATCATCTTAAACAAAAACAACAGTAATCAAAAAAATGCAGATTTCCAGTTAGTCATTTGCTATTTGAATCTTGTCCTTTACTATTTTTCTATGTAGAAAAAATGGCAAAAAGAAAATAACAAACAAAAAATTGACAAAAACGAAACAAAAAAAAAAATGACTAAATAAAAATAAAGCGAATCGTAGCTCATCATTTTCACGAAAGCGCTATCTGTTTAGGGAAACACAACTGTATGTGCTTTTTTTGACTTGTTCAACAAGATTCCATTAACTATTAAGATTGAATATGACACCGAAAACCTAGTTTTCAGGTCAAGTTTTCTGTTTATAATCCAACTGATCATCTTTCTGACCCCTTCCCTACTCACTGTCCGCCCCACCCACTTTCCTCCCTCCACCTTCCATACTCGCCATTAAAGAGAACAACAGCGAAAGTAACTAAGAAAAGATTTTCCCGTTAGAAGTTGTAACTTAATTCCCAATGAGCTATTCATCCCCTACCCAACAGTGTGTATCACGATGGTTTTTACTCTATAGAAGCTGAAAAAAATAAAAAAATCTACTTTGCCCTGATCTTCTGTTTTTCCATATACTATAAAAAAAATTAAAATTTTTAAAAAAAGATATATAAATTAAAGATGACTGATAGAAGAAGAAAAAGCGCAAGTATAAAAACAAATAATAGTAATAAACAAAAAAAGAAAAAACGAATGACTTAAGAAACTCTGTCCTCCAGATCACTTTAGCGCTATATGCTTGAACAATTGAAATACAGTACAAAGAGAAGAAAAAAACACATCAGGAGTAAAAAAATAATACTATCTTAAGTAAATATTTCCAAAACCAAGACAAAATAATCGATTTTAACAAATTTATCTTCTCATTTTTCCCCCAATTTTCATACAAAAATAACCACCAAAAAAATCCACAGTTCCATATCCTTTTTTGCCGTTTCTTATTTCTTTGCATCCCTTTTTTCCCTTTCCTCACATTACATTAGAATTTGGTGTCGGACGATGATGGTTACCGCTTAAATGTGTGAAAACTTGAACAGCAATATGTGGCGATGTTGTAACAGATGCAACTGCACCCGATGTTGTTCCCGTTGCTACAATTGTTGCCGGGGTTTCTGTGGTATCCGATGCACTTTTCCGACAAATTGGACAAGTACGATTGGTTTTCAGCCACTTATCGATACATTTTAGATGATAGTGATGTTCGCAAGGAAGTACTCGAACATGATCACGCTTTTCAAAATCACATTGGCATATCACACATACTTTTTCTTTCAACGTTTTTGGATTTGTTAAACGGAAAGATTGGAGTTGGTCAATTTCATTCCTGAAAAATAAACATCATTATTGCAGACGAATGTCAAAAATACTGACAACACCCGCTTGTGCAACATTTAACTTCAAACAAAACCGTACTTTGGCATCCCTTTCGGCTGCATTCGTATAAGATTCATCTGTGGTGCCACTCGGTCAAATATCTGCAAAACAGCTGCCTCCCAGTTGCGGAAAGGTGACTCAATATTCACATTTTCCGCAGCTTCAGCAGACTGCTGTTGTTGGGAAGAAGCAGATTCTGGGAAATTTGTCCCCCGATTTGCCCATTCTCTCGGCAAGTGGGGCATTGCAACACTGGGAGCCATTTCCATCTGAGAAAAATAGGTACACTATAAGATGAAATGCGAAAGATGAAAATGAACAAAACAAAAAGTAAGTTCCCTAAAATGCTAAACTTACCGGATGAGTAGAATGATTCAAATCAAGGCTTTCAATAAACCTTGTCTGAGAAATAGCTCGTTCCCGAACCTGTTGTGCAGCAATCAAAATCGCTGTTGTATCCACAGCTTGTGCTGCAGCGGCTGCAGCGGCTTGAGCTGCTGCTTGTCGAACTCGTGAAATAAGCATTTCAACGCGAGAGTCGGAATCCCGTATCCAACGATGTTGCGCATTTGACGAGAGCATTGCAGACTCCCAATCTCGCAATTGCCTACAGCTTTATTAACTAAGTTTGGCGGCAGAACAATTAGGATACCTTTGTTTATGTAAATTCAAAATTTTTTTTTGTTAAAACTCAAATAATTTATAGCCTCAAGTCACACCTCAGATAAGCTAAGTCAGCGATCTCCTGCGGACTTGGAACTATAGCTTCATTTCCTAAGCTCTGATTAGCTCGTTCAGGGTCAGGAATGTTGGAAGGGTATATTACAGATGACAGAGGAGGTCTCTGACTCATGGCCGCTTGTGCTACACGATGTGACTGTTGAGCAGCCATACGAACGGAATTTGCCTGCGCCTGCTGTTCATTACTTAGATAATACAAGGAATCACGATTCTGCTGCAAAAAACTTTTTATACTGAACAGCAACAGTTCAATGCTGAAAAACTAGTCCACTCCTGAGCAACAGCAAGCAGCCGCAGCTAAGGAGCACACAAAAAAAAAAGACAAAGAATCCTGATGAAAGTTGCAAAGTACTAGAACCCGAGTGAACAATGCTCCATGAAGTTCATTAATCAACCTACAAGTACATTTTTTTCTAAAAAAAAATTTTTGACACGTAAATCCCAGTCTCTTCGTTTTTTTTCTCCTCCTTCCTCTTTCAGAAATTTGACCCAGTTTCGCTCGGAAAGCAAAACAAAGAAGGATGGATATGAAGAAAACTGATTACCGCCAACTGAACAGGAGCTGAGTAATTTAATGCAGGCGGTGTATGAACATGTAAAGACACCGGAGTTGCCTGAAAATAATGAGTTTATGAAAACAATCTCTTTTCTTTGTTCCTGAAGTTCGTTCGTTCAGCTTTTAGCACAACGTCAATTATTTGCGCATATTAAACAGTGGCTAACAAAAATTCTGTTTACTTTAAATGCAATATACTGTAACAAAACTTACAACACTATTTACAGAAGAAGTGCTTGGCATTGCAGCCATTTGCGCATGTATTTGTGGAGCTATAACCTGAGGTCTGTAGACTGGCGGTAACGAATTCAAAGCAGCCATGGCACTTGCGGGTTGATATGTTTGCGCTGGTTGCAGTAAACAAGGACCAGGTTGTACGATCCCTGAAGTAAGAAAACAGATCCCTTATCTAAGACGGTTGCGAAAGTTACGTTGAGATCAAATGAAACTTTTTAACAGACAAATTAAACCTCAGTTACCGCTCATACTACTGTAGAGCCAAACCCGGTACAACTTACCATCAATACAGCAAGCTGGCGGGTATGAAGTTTGCAGAAATGCTGAATCAGCAGTCGCTAAGCGACGCCGACGGCTAACTGAAGGCATTTCGGCTGACGATTCATCAGCATTACGCTTCCGAGAGCGACTTCTCGAGGAAGAAGCAGCAACTTCAGGAGCTTGTAAGTTCGCTGCAGAGAAAGAATTTTATTATGCAGATAGAAAAACTCAAATTGGTTCTAAATTGGAGTACTGCAAATTGCCAAGTCCTTCAACTGGCTGTCTTTATCCATTACTTGTACCAAGCTATCACAATGAGTACTTTGAAATAATCAACATAAAATTATAGATATAACCTCAACAATTACTGGATTTGTTGTAAGCAACGCTCCAAGGCTTGTCTGAACAAATAACAAAAAAAAAAAAAAAAAAAAA